TGTGGACAAACACTTGCACAGAGATACTGCATGGAATCTTTTTGGCGCGTGCCGCCGGTCAACTCTTACGCACAATGCAAAATGACAAACAAGCAGTCGTGGACCTGCGCGCGGCGGCGAATTTTGCAACTGGGCATAACTTTGGGGTCATTTTCAAGATCGTCCAACGAGGGAAGAAGAGATGTCTCCCAATCATCCGGGTTGAACGACGATCGTGACGTCTTTTTCTTCTATTTCGTCCACCACGGTACGACGTCGCTCGCATGAGCCAAAAAACCATGTATGCAAATCCCCACGTAGGTGTGCCTCCACGGTTTTACGCACATAAGGCTTTGAGCCGATCATACCGTGGTGGACGATTCGGGAGGAAATACGTGCCGTCAATTTGGACGATTGTGAGAAATCGATGTGGAGAATACCCTCACGGTCGCCCGAGTGATTGAGTTGACCGAATTCCGCATTGAGAAACAACACGCAATCGTGTTCACTGCGGAAGCTTCTTGTCAAGCTGATTGCACTGTTTGCCGACGACGCCGTCCCCCACCACTCTCAGAAATGCAAATTTCGATTGCGCTTCCATTGGTGGAGGTCATAGAGTCCCTCCCTTTATCGCGACTCGTCGCGGGGCCTTGAGATTGGGTCCGAGTTGGCTTGGATGGACATCATGCAAAGGGTGGCGTTTCCAGCTTTGTAGACGTTGGACGGGAGAACTTTGAGAGGACAGACTGTTTCGACGGGTAGATTGGCTGCCATCAAAGCCTGGAGCAAAGATTGTCGCGTTGTAGGCGTGACAGTCTGTGGGGCAGGAAGCGGGGCGTCTTCGACTGTCGATCCGCGATCGCGCTCATGTCTTCGTTCGCGGTCTTTGCTTGTTCGGACGGCAGTCATATACGCTTCTGTCCATGTCCAATACACAACCAAACAGCATTCAACAATCTGTCATTGCAACGTATTTGCACCAGGCGGATGGCACAGCCTGTTGTCCCGACACGAGTGTTTCAAAGTCGACGAAATGACAAAGGAGGACGAATGTCTGTCCTTGTCGATGCTTCAGCGTGTCCTAGTAATGCGTGACAGAGTTATTCCTGGCTACTACGTAGTGTAGTGGCGTCGGTTGGCTGAGACAGTGGCAGTGCAGACGGTCGAAAAACAGTGGCTCCGCCTCAGAAGGATTTGTCGATGCAGACGCGTCGATGGTAAAGCTGTAAAGGGATGGTTGCCCGTGGTCCAGGGAGGACGCTGTCCTGCTCTGCGACGGACAACATGTCGTAACATGGGTGGCCGTGTGGTGCGCACCGCCGGTCTGTCTCGTCCGCCCATGGAATCGAGGGCGTGAACAGAAACACCAACCGACCGACTTCAAGGATCTGTGTCTGTGCGACGTAATGCGCCATGTGTCTGGTCCGTTTGTTGAAGCGCCGCAGCAGGCGGCGGACGGTGTAGAGAGCGCGCCGTCTGGTCTGAATGCGCGAGTCGACGCAAGGCCATTGTTTGAATTGCCTGGCACGACAACAATGAACATCAACGCGGCCAACCCGAACGCGCGCAACGACTTGGAAGAGCGCGTGTCGTACATCCAGTCGGCCACGAATGACAAGGACGCAGGCGGGTACTCGGACGCCAAGACCCCCGGCGAGCTCGAAGACGGCGCGTTGGTGGCGGGTGGCGCCCTCAACTTGTTTTCGAAGGAGGCGTTTGCGTTGTTTGCGCAGTACGGCGCGATCGGCGTCATCTACGGCTTGATCCCGTCGCTCAACTACCCCATCTTCAACGTGTACCTCCAGCTCAACGACCTCTGGAGAGAGAATTTGCTCCGGAGTACGACATTTCAGTCATGATTTATTAATAGAAATGTGTCGATGGCTGGTGGGGTTTCCAACTTGCGACGATAGTTTAGAAAACTTCGAGTCGATAGATTAGTTTGAACACTGGATAGGACATCGAGACGGAGAGCAGACATTGCCTCCTTGGGGATAGACTGGACCACCTGTGGGGCGTTGGAGGACTGCGATGGGTGTTTGCGTGGTTGCGCGGTCGCCCT